CTTCGAGGAGCGAGACAAAATTCCCAAGTTTATGCAAATATTGTTGCAGAATGCTTCCAAAATTCGCAGACTACTCGTGATTATAAATTGTTCTTTTTTTTCTTAAACTAAACATATTAATCAATATATCCTTCTAATAATATATTTTATATATTGTTTAGCATCATTTGTTGACTCTCCTGTCGATAAAAAAAAACATTGAAAAAAAAAAACTTAAATTAAAATATCAATTCTTACAATTTTTAATTTTCAAACAATTAAGGTGAGAACACATAAAACGCTTAAGGGCTAAGTACATAAGAAGCTTGAAGTCATGACTAGGCATATTAATGTCAAATTATAATGGAAAACGACGGCTGGATTTTAGTGCGGCTCTGAATGAAAAATTTTTGATGTTTGTAATAATTTTTGAAAAATGCATATCATAACAACCTCCGATTGCTGTCGTATAAGAAAACTTATAAAATGTACTTATTAAAAAAAAAAAAACATTTTAACAATTTTGACATATCAATGTTCCCAAGCGTTGATGCATCTACCTATATTCTTCTACCATGGTATAAAAGCTCTACTGCATTGTAGATATGTAAAAATTTTTATTTTTTTTTTTTCAAAAATAAGTACATTTTATAAATTTTCTTATACGACACCAATCGTAGGTTGTTGATATGTATTTTTCAACAATTTTTGGAAATTAGAATTTTCATTTAAAATGTTCGATTTAAAAATTGGTTTGACAGTTCATTGTCCCAGCAGCTATGCGATGCGACTACCTGTATTCTTCTACTATAGTTTTGGTTGCAGCGAATTCAAATTTAATTGACAGATCGTGTGGTAATCAGCTGAGCTGGAAGGGGGACCTTACAGTACGTTTATATATATGAGGGTTAACCCACTGGATTTGGATTTAAATTGTCATATCCATTACTTTTACTTCAAATAAATCCTCTCAAAGTAGGTTAACCCTACAAAAAGTTCTAACGTAAACATGGCATTATACTTGGATCATGTTCTTGAATAAATAAAAAAGTGCGTATATCAGCTGACATTTTTTATCATTTTAATCTAGTCTTAACAATTCTAGTCTATGTTAAATGGGTCATCGTCATACAAAAATAGAGCTTTACACGACCGGATTTATTTTAATAGCGCATTGAAACTATTTAAAATTAACCCACTGGGTTATGATTTAATCCGGATAAAATGTTGTATCTAAACTCGCTAAAACTTTCTTTTGTTGGATTTCTGAGCACACATCCATGAAGCTATATACACACATTTGTTCCACACTGTATATGAATTTTTAACCATTTATAAAGTATCAAAAAACAAAAAAAACATATCACTTCATTAAATTCTAATCACAAAACGATAATCTTATACGTTAATGACGTTTTTAAATACACATAGGTATACAATTTGACTGAACGTAATTCCATTTTATTCTAAGTGTAAATAAAAGTATATGGATGTATGTAACCTTGTTTTCAATGACACCGTACACTGCCAATGTACTGTACCAACTAGTTCGTGGCCTTAGACATTGACCTACTGTCGCCGTATATCTCATGGCCGCGACCTTTTTGTTTTTCATTGTCATTGAAAAGCGAACGAAACGAAACCTTCAAACAACCTCTCAAGGCTTTGCTCCAATTTCCTAAGGGCAAAAGAGAACATCTCAAGGTTCTATTTGAGAATGGCATTGAGATAAATGGGTCATGACATTGAATGAGGTCATCGTAAAATGGCATTGCCTTTCTTCCACTCGAGGATGTTGCTTACACTCTGGAAGAGGAGAAGAAGTTGGATGGATGGCAAACGGAAAGAACGCAACAAAAACTTCAAAGTCGTTCGTTTGTCCGACAAACACCCGTCTTCTCCCAGATGCCGTCGGCAACGGAACGCGTAGTCGCTCGCTCCTGCTTTGTTCTGTTTTAGACGAGTCGTTCGTTGTTCATCATAGTCGTTTCGGAAGACACATGACGACGTTGGCTGCACAGCCTTACCGATATTTCTATCAGGCAATCAGCAATTAAAGCTAAGATATTTTAATTTATTCAATAGCAAATTGAGTAACCGAAAAAAGCGAGGGAAATTGTTTATCTGTAGCGGGTTGTTGGCGTTGTTGTTCTTGATGTATACAGTTTCGTTTATTCGGAAACTCGCCCGTATAAAATATACAGCAACGGGGCGGGGCGGAAGATTTGTTAATAGAGTAACAGATTGAAACTGCTTGCAGGGTTGCCAATATTTTTGAAAATTGTTTAATACACAAAATGATATCTTAATTGTGTCAAGTACTTTTAAAACAAGAAAAAATTTCTTATGTTTATTTTACAATTTTTCAGAGACTTCTTAAATTTGGGGAAACTATACGAAGGCGTGGACCTGCATATGAAATTTTTAGGCATAGGAAACAATTCGGGCGAATTATGTCGCTAAAATCATCTAAATACCGACTATTTGGAAGTATAATTTTTGCAAGGAGAGAACTGACCTACCAAGAACTCCAAATGTATAGTTTCAGCTTATTTGGTTGGCATTTTGGCAGACACCTTGAAAATACCGAAAATCTGTATTTTTGGGTGCTGTACCAATTATTGAACCTGAATCGCACAATTTATTTAAGGAAAGAACAGACTTACCGAGAACACCAATTGTCAAGTTTGGAGTGGACCCATATAGACCATTTTAAAAACCAGTTCTGAGTCTAATCTCTTTCTCTAATTGATATGAACATGTAACCAAACTAGCCTCCAGTTGAAGCTTTTCCCCATTTCAGTGAGGTTTTCTAAAATTTCCCTCAGGTATGAAAAGGAGTAAGATCTCAAATAAATATGATCGCAAAATCTCTTAAACACCCATCAATTAGTATACGAGATATTTGGTGGATTGCATGCTATTTATTCTTATACCCTCCACCATACCATGGAGGGTTTATTAAGTATATATATTCTGGATCAGCGTAAAATTTTAAATCTATTTATCGATGTCCGTCTTTCTGCTGTAATCACGCTACCTTTCGAACTAATTGAGATTAGGCTAAAATTTTGCATACATGCTTAATTTACCAGTAGGCAGGTTAAGTTCATAAATGAGCCATGTCGGTCCACGTTTTCGTATAGCCCTCATATAACGGTACCTTATTTAAATTTTCCTATTTGAAGTTCATAATAGGTATTACAGCCTACGACAAACCGAAACCGAAATTATTTCAAATTTCATATTTAAAGTTCGAAATAGGTACTACAGCCTGAGACAAAAATGTTTGTATGCAGGTCCACGCCTTCGTCTAGCCCTCCATATAACGGTACCTCCCGATATTCGGTATTTTCATTATATCAGCGACATTATTCATCGGAATCGAAATTTCGTATTGGGAGATCTTAATGGTTACTACAACCTATGGAAAAAAACTTCGTATGCAGGTCCACGTCTTCATATAGTCTCCATATGAAAGTTTTCATTTAAGTGGTAGTTTCCGGAAGATTTTTTTTTTAAATTTTTTGAAGTTCCTTTCAAATGGTGGAGGGTATTAAAAGTTCAAAATTTAGCAAAACAATTTGCATTGTGTCTAGGATGGCTGGTATTGAAAATGAGATATATCGGTCTACGTTTTGGTATAGTCCCCATATAACGGTACCTCCGATATTCGGTATTTTCATTATTTTGTTGCCACATTTTTCCACGGATTTGTCTAAAAATTGGTATTTTTAGGGTAAAATGGGTTCTAGCTCGTGTGGCGAAACCTTGTATTTATAGGTCCACGTTTTGGTATACCCCTCACATAACGGTACCTCCCAATATTCGGTATTTCGATGATTTTCGCAAACATTTTTCGACGGATTTATCTAAAAATTGGTATTTGTTGGTCATAATGGGTTCTAGCTCCGGTGGCAAAACATTGTTTGTATAGGTCAACGTGTTGGTACCGCTTGATATTCGATATTTTTATAAAAATTGGTATTTGTAGTTCATAATGGGTTGTAGCCCAGTGGCAGAACGTTGAATATTTAGTTCCACGTTTTCCTATAGCGCACATATGACGATACCCACCGATATTCGATATTTTAATAATCCTAGTCACTATTACCCACATAATTGTTTCATTTTTGGTATTTTAGAAGATTTGATACATAGCAATCCTTGAGGGAAAAAATTTTCTATAGAGGTTCCCGTTTTGGTATGGCCCCATATAACGGTCCCACATTTTTAATGAAGTAAAAAAATATCAAAAACTTAATAACAAATAAAAACTTGAGACAATAATTATAATTGCAACACAATTTTTTAAGATTATGGCGCCCAATACATTTTATACAGTCTTATACCTTTTCGACGTTTACTGTCGAAAACCTAAAAAAATGTAATACAGACCTGATCTTGCCACTTAAAGTAGGGCAAAATAATTCTATAATACGCTCTCTGCAATTTGCATCTTCCAAAAAATTATGTAATTTTAATTAATTAATTCCGTCTTGAAAATCATTTTATTTATTTCATTTCATTGCACACTTCCATTTCAATATTTTTATGAACTAGTCAACCCTATTCATATTACGTACACGAGCACACAAACACACCACCATTCCGACCTACAGTTGAAAATAAGAAACCCCAACCAATATACATTTTTATGCCATTTGTCTGCCACCATTTTGGCGGGCTCGTCGACCGTCTACCCAACTGTTGTAGCTCAACTTAACGCCTGTTACCGGTTCTCGCAATGGTCTTTTGTGGTTGGCTGTATTCATGATTGGATTGTGGAACTCTATGCCTGTCGCCGTTCGACTCAGCAGCCAACTCGATGATAACTCGTCAATTACTTGCCGGCGACGAGTAGCGTACGGGTGCTGTTATTGCAGAGCCAGCACACTACAATCCTCTAAAATAACAACAAAATATGCTACAGTTATAGTCGATTGGTCGTTTGGCCGCTGACTCTGTAGCCCAACAAAGAAATGAATTTCGAAAATTTTGTGTTGGTCGAATGGTACAATTCGTATACCAGGCGCACAAAACGCACTGGCAGTGGCCGCATTGTTACAGTTGGATGAATGCTCTTATTGGCTGTCTGCTGTTGCATTTTTCGGCTTCGGTTTGTAGTTCACTATTGATTGCTGGCTCCTCGTACGTATGGCTGGGCAAAAACAACAAACACGTACACAGAACCTCTTCAGCTGCTGACTGGTTTGTTAGCACTTGTGTCGAAGGGGGGTTTTTATTTGCTTGTGCTACAGCGCTACGGGCTGGTTATTGAGCGAGTCACAATGTGTTCTGCTGTTTTGTTTATTTTGTGTGTGAAGCGAGGTGAGGCGTCGAGTCGTTCGTTGTATTTTGGTTGGATGTGAATCAGAAGCAGCAGCAGTCAGCAAACCATGTCATTTTCTTTGAGGGGGAATGAATGGCTGGATGGATGGTATAAAATATACGATTAATTTTAACGGATAGTTGTTGGCAGTAGTGTCAGTGGTGGTGGTTGTGTTCTGTTCAGCAGCAAAATGATAAGAGTTGGGGGGGTTTGTAATTGAAAATAATAGGGCTCAACAATCAGTGACTGATTTTTGTTAACTTTTTAGCCTAGACAGCCAGTCATACTCAATCAGATCATGATGCGGATGAATGGAATGGGTGGTTGGTTGTCTAACGTGCAAATCATGTCTTCTCCATGGTACATCAAATATACGGGCCCTGAACAGTGTTTGCAAAATATTCCGACATACACTGCCTTTACACGGTGGCATTTTTATCAATTCTCTTTTAAAATTTCTGCGTAAATCTTCGCGCCTTTACACGGTGGCATTTTACGATATTAGTGCTTGGCATTTTTTCTGACATTTTATTTTATTCAGTATTTCGTATAGAGCTGTATTGTTGTGCTAATTGTTTGTAACGGATATTTATAAAGAAGTGATTTCAAATTAAATGTGTGAATCTAAAGAAGATATGATGGAAAAAGTTATTGAGGTGTTAAATATTGCAGTGCAAAGCTCAGATTTCATTAATGAGCTTGATGTCGGCATTGTTTTGGGGCTATTTGGGGCATGCTGCCCATACAGCACCAACATGAGCTCTATTGTCGATCTGGTCCACATATTTATTAAAATTATTAACTTTTATTTTAATTTCCTTTTTTTTACTTTTTAAAACTTCCAATTAATTTTCATATAATTCACTATACAATTCAATCACTAAACACATCACAATTAAAGAAACGCATCAAATATTACAATAAAGAAACGATATGAAATGTCAAAATCATAAAAAATTCGGAAGAAGCAAAAAGAGAAATGCAAAGAAAATGGCATGTAACCCTGTGCGGTGGCTTATCGTGCCAATTTTTTTCTTCTATCCTTGTTTCTCTACACCTTTTACCATCAAAAAAAAGGCATGGTTAAAAAATGTCACCGTGTAAAGGCAGTGATAGTTTTTGAAGGGTAAAACAAATTGTCCGCTTTGAAACATGATTGCCATTCAAAAAAGTGTTTTCTATATTCTCGCCATTAGTTCAATTTGGACGCCTACTTTATATTTGTTCACCCTATCAGTGACAAGGGATTGATACACAAGAAACTAATTTCTACGATCTTTAAATAGACTGATTTTTTAATATCATATCACTTTCTTGTTGCAAAATGGTCAGGCTTCATCCCATTATTTCATTGGAAGTTATTTTCAAATGTAAGAACATTATAACATTAGTTGTGTTCCAGAACCTACAAATTAGTGCTAATTCTGCTACAACGCGTTCCCGTACTCCAAAAACTAGCAAAACTTGCGCTCTCTCGAGAAAAAAGGCGCTGAGTGGTGCACATTTCTGCTTGTTTTAGCTACATGAATTTGGCCGAGGAGAAATGTGCAAATTGTAAATTTGACATTTAATTGGTAGGGCTAACAAGGTTGAAAAATGTATTGATACATTTCAATGTTCGCGCGTCACAACAAATGTAAAGAAAAAAGATAAACTTAAAAACTAAAGAAAAACTAATATTTGTCGTGCAAAAAACAAAAAGAGAAAATATGGAGCAACTGATGTATTCACTTTTGAATGATTCCAGGAGTGAAGAGGACTGGCTGAATGAGGAATGAGACGAAGAAAACGTATTGGAAAACAGTGCAAAATTAGTGAAAGGTAAATTGAAAAATAAAGTTTAAAATCAAAGATGTTCGCTTATTACTGCGAACATTTTCTTTTTATTTTTAGGTTGGCTGTCTTCCCAACTTGTAGCATTAAGTCTTCTAGCAGACTTAACATTAATTTAACCGGCGCCTCCAACCATGTCAGCTTCTCCGGGGTTGGGATTTGAGAAAACTCCACCTCTAAATACTCTTCAACGCATTCTGAAAACAAAACTTTCTAAATAAACAGCATTCAAAAATAATTATTAATTTAAACTTATTTTCAATACTCATTTTTTTTAAATTTTGGCGTCCATTTCTGTAAGGTTTCACCAGTCCGATTTAGACTGTTTTCTTTTGGAATTTTGAATGTTGACATTTTATCGCATTTCTGCTCATTTTCCGTTCCTTTTTTTTTGAGCACACCTAAATGAGAATGACATTTCGTACTGTTTTCTCTTCTGCTAGTTTTACTACTAAAAAAGTACTGGAACACAACTATTGCTGTAAGAAAATTATACACCATGCCTTAACATTAAAACAAGTAAAAAAGCAGTAAGTTAGGCCGGGACGAATTTTTAATAACCTCTACCATTTGGAACAAAATGAGCAATTCTCAAAAACAATTGAATCCGTTAAAAATTAAATACCAAATGTAGCTGTTATATAAAAATCAATGAATATTGTAGCTTAAATCATCAAAATACCGGGAGGTACCGTTATATGGGGGCTACACGAAAACGTGGACCTACACACACAATTTTCAGTCTTAGGCTGTAGTATTCATTATGAACTTGAAATACTAACTTTGAAACCATTCCGGTGAATAATGTTCCTAAAATCATCAAAATACCGAATAATGGGAGGTACCGTTACATGAGGGCTATAAGAAGACGTGGACCTACACACATAATTTTCTGTCTTAGGCTGTAGTATCCATTACGAACTTCAAATACTAAATTTGAAACCATTCCGGTAAATAATGTCCCTAAAATCATCAAAATACCGAATATCGGAGGGTACCGTTATATGAGGGCTATAAGAAGACATGGACATACACACACAATTTTCTGTCTTAGGCTGTAGTATACATTTCGAACTTCAAATACCAAATTGGAAACCATTCCGATAAATAATGTCCTAAAATCGTCAAAATACCTAACATCGGGTGGTAACGTTATATGGGGGCTACACGAAGACGTGGACCTACATGGCCCATTTTTAATACCATAAGTCCTGCAGACATGATATACATTTGAGTAATTTTTTTTTTCAATCTACTTCATTTCGTTCGGAAGCTAGAGTGATTTCCACAGACGGACGGACATCGCTAAATCGACATAGAATTTGCTGATCAAGAATATATATACTTTGTGGGGTCTAAAATGTATATTTCGAGGTGTTACAAACGGAATGACAAAGTTAATATACCCTCCATACTATGATGGAGTCTATAAAAATATATAATACTTTATGGATGTCTACCGATATATTTGTGATATTTTTTTTGATATATCCATGGTAGAAGAATATAGGTAGACGCATCGACGCAGCTGCTGGGACAATGAACTGTCAAACCAATTTTGGAATTGAAAATGTTGAATGAATTTTTTTTTTAAGTTTGAAAAAATTGTTGAAAAAGGCGTTTTATATCAAAGTCCGAATGCCGTCGTATAAGGAAACATATAAAAATCTACTTACTTTTGAAAATACATTTAAAAATTTTTGACATATCAATGCTCCCAAGAGTTGATGCATCTACCTGTATTTTTCTTGTCAAATTATATTTTTTCGATGAAAATAGGGCTCGCTGTGATCGAAAAAGTACACATGTACTTTACTCATGTATCTTACAACTGAAATGTCGCCCATGTATCACACGATGTGTGCAAATACTAAATATTGTAAATTTGACACCACATATGTGAAAAAAAACATATGGTCTGATAAAGCTTATAAATCAATTTCGAATATTCATTTATAAAGCTACACGCACACAAATGTCTTCTTGCTGTAACCACTGTGTCTCCATTTAATAAGCCACCAATGTAATTTGATAGCCAGCCTTACTGGAATAAGTGTTGCATGGGATGTAGCGTTGTTGTTGTTGTTGTCATGCCAACTGTCAATTGAGCCACTACACTACACACTGTTTTACTGACCAACCGTCGTTGTGCGCTGTTGTTACACACAGGAATACACAGCGCGTTGGTTTTGGGGGTTTGGGTAAAATCAGTTGATGATTGGTTTGTTTTAAGGTTGGTTCTTTTTCGTTCGTTCGTTGATTCATTTTGTTCTTGTTCTTCTTACTCTGAACTCCTTTCTAGCAGAACAGAACTAACCAACAACCTCCGTACTTACCTGTGGCTGCATTTAGTAAAACTTTTGTTTGTATGTTTTGTAGGCCTCCTAATTTGTGTGTGTTTTTTTTGTAATAGTATCCACACCCCAAATGGAAAGAAAGGAAGGGGAGGGGAGTTGGTATAATTTTAATTGTTTTATTTGCTCGTTTTAATTGGTTGATGCGTTATCCACAAGGAACATAATTAGCGAATACTAATTCGGATATGTAATTGAGGGCTAACATGGAAATTCGTAGCAGAAATTACATTTAAAATTCGATATTTAATGCATGGAAGTAGTTTTCAAAAGGGCAAAAAACTATAAAAGTATTTTGCTAACAGGAAAATATCTGAGGTTTTCTGCTAATGAAAACACTTAATATCGTCACACTACATTCCGCTCTCCGCAAAATACTTACACCATTTATATGCTGAGGTCCTGTTTCTGTGTGACTATAAGAAAGTAAAAACAATAGAAAAACACCACTTGATTTTTTAAACAAAAGTCAAAATTGGTTTTATTTTGCATATATCGACATTTAGAAACAGGTCCATAAGTTAAAAAAGCATTGCTTTTCAATGACTATTCTCGGAATAAAGAATATATAGGTATTTTCAATAACACGCAGACTGTACCTCATCTTCTTTTAATCCACAACATTGACCATCAACAAAAATGTTTATTCGTCCAAGTCTTTGCTTTGCGGTTTAATGTTGTGTTTTAACTGGCCCATTTGATTTGTTGCAATACTACTTGTCAATGCTGTCCGATCATCAAGCCAATAAAAATGAGGGGGCGGGTTGGATTAATGCTCAATTGCATACGAATGGCTTTGGATTTTCTTGTGTGTATACAAATGCTCAGACATATAAGTAGTATATAATATTGCACGAATTAAATAATACGAATTTCGTGAAAAATTAATTTGGGGTAAATAATTGGATTATTTAAGTAGATAAATTCTATATATAGAGATAAATTCTAATGCCGAATTTGCTACCTATTTTTGACAGCCAAAGTTTAATATGGGTTAATTAAAGCTGGCAATCATAGTATTATTTTTTACATGGCCAAATTAACCCTATTGTAGAATTAGGAATGAAAGCTCGTCCAAATACACATTTTTTTTTCAAAATTCAAAAATTTTCAAAATTATTTCTCACCAGGGGCTAGATTCTTGTTCTATGAAAATATTCTAATATTCTAATATTCTTGTTCTATGAAAATATTAAATGAAAAATATTTCCTTAATAAAATTTTTCATTTGACATTACTTCTTTTTATAAAAAGTTTTCATTTCAGATTTTCATAGAACAATAATTGAGGCCCAGTTCTATATTTGTCAGAAATTATCATAAATCCATTGTAAGGGGTGATTTTTTAACTATTAATATTTCTGGCAACGCTGGTTGAAACAGCTCACGCACGCTTCGCATTCTGTTTAAGTGTTAAACGTCTACATAATTTATCCTATAACTTTCAAGGTCCCACTACTTTGTCACCGAAAAGTCTACCTTAAAATTTTAGAATCGTTCAACAGTTCGTGTTAGGATTTTTTATACCATACCTCCACCATACATAGTATGGAGGGATATATATTTATATATATTTTTGTTCCTTGGCTATTTCCTTGCGGCTATTTTACCCCCTGGAAAAGAATATCTATATAGGTCTACGATGTCGTATATCCCCCATATAACTTTTCCTCCAGATATTCGGTATGTTGATGATTTAAGACACATGGAATGGAATAGTCTAAAAATCTACACAAGGAGTTCCTTCTGAGTACTTAACCCCCTGAAATAGAATTGTGTATATAGGTCCACGATATCGTATAGCATCCATATAACGTTACCCCGAGATATTCGTTATTTCCAGGATTTTCGCGACATTTGCTTTAAATTTTGTATTTGAAGCTCGTAATGGGTACTACAAGCCATGACGGAAAATTGTCTATGTAGGTCCACGTCTTCATATAGCCCCCATACAACGGTACCTCCCTTTATTCGGCTTTTTGATGATATTATCGACATTATTAACCGGAATTATTTCGAATTTCGTATCTGAAGTACTACAGCCTATGACAAAAAATTACTTATGTAGCATCACGTCTTCGTATAGCCCCCATATAAAGGTTTTCATTTGAGCGGTTTCTTCCGAATGGTGGAGGGTTTAAAAAGTTCTGCTCGGCCGAACTTATTTGCTTTTTTACTTGTAAGTACCCAATATCCACAATCTATTTAGTCTGACAACAGTTTTTAATCAAATCTTCATACATCGTACCATGACAAAACCAAAAAGAAGAATTGTTCCTGAATAGAATAAAGGTAAAGGCGATAATAAATAAAACGCATATTTGACTGGCTTAAAGCTGGGAATACATAAAGCGCTTATTTGGCTGGCTTAAGTCATCGGCTGGCTTCTTCGAAAATGAACAAAGGAGACTAGGGCCAAAATCGAACTAGGTCAACCTAAAACTCCTTTGTTCATCTACGAAGAAGCCAGCCGATGACTTAAGTCAGCCAAATATGCGCTTTATGTTTTTCCAGCCTAAAGCTGGGAATACATAAAGCGCTTATCTGGCTGGCTTCTTCGGAAATGAACAAAGGAGCCTAGGGCCAAAATCGAACTAGTTCAACCTAAAACTCCTTTGTTCATTTACGAAGAAGCCAGCCGATGACTTAAGCCAGCCAAATATGCGCTTTATGTATTTCCAGCCTAAGTCATCGGCTGGCTTCTTTGTAGAGGAATAAAGGAGTTTTAGGTTGACTTAGTTCGATTTTGGCCCTACGCTCCTTTTTTCTTTTCGACTTAAGCCAATCAAAAAACTTTTTATCAACTCTCACCTTTAAGCCAGTAAAAAAAGCGTTTTGTGTATTCTCACCTTATGTATTTATTGTTTTGAAAAAGAAAAACAAAATATGTGC